GCTGGGAGAATCAGACCGCCAAGTGCAGACAGCGGGACCGCAGCATTGTTTGCCAGTCATTGTGCTGCGTAGCGTCTCTACTGTCCCGCGTTGTTTTGCTCTCTTTAAAGTTTAATGAACCCAGACCTCAGACTTTCAGCGCGACGGTGTCCGCTGTGCATTCCACTGGAGATTTTATTGTTGTTGTTTTTTTTCCCCCTTCTCCCCGGTTCAGATGGTTCCCCTTCCTTCACAGGGGCGACCCGGCTTAAGCAAGGCCCTGGGCTGTTTGTTTTACGGTGGTGCCTTCCTTTCAGGGGTTCTGAATGCTGTGGGTGGGAAACAGGGAGGGAGAGACAGCCGGAAAAAAAAAAGGAGCCAGAGGAAGAGGGGGAAAAAAAAAAGAGGGTATAAAAGTGAAGGGAAGCGAGGATGCCAAAAAAAGCTTTCAAGACATATTACTTGTGTCACCGCTTGGCTTCTCTTTATCTCTTTAATTTATCTGCTGAAGTTAAAGGGAAGTGAGCCCAAATCCCTAAAAGTTTTGCCTGCCTTGACCCTGACTCGGTGTCACCAGTTCATCGCTTTTGATGACTTCAGTGAGTCCAGATGGAGGACGGCGATGAGTCCGTGTTAACTGTCTGTGTCACAGCGAGGAGGAGGAGAGAGAGCGGAGGATTCAGCTCCGAGGCCCAAGGGCATCGATAAGCTCGACTTTATGAGCTGCGTGGAGTTTCTGCCGGGGGCCCTGGAGGCCCTGGAGGCCCTGGGGGGGGGAGAGGCCCCCGTGAACTCCAAAGTGCCTCTGCGGACACTTGAGAGGGTTGTGTGAAACGGGTGCCTCCCTCTCCCGTGGTTGTGCGTGGGAGGGAGGTCACGGACCCACCCTCCCTATTGAGAGCACGGGCTGATGAGGGGAAAATAACAGGGTGAACTGGCCCAAAGGGAACACTGCAGTGCCACCCTCTAATCACAGTCTCCTCACTCACATGTGGACAAAAAGAAGTGTACTGTGCAGGCTCATACAATGAAACACACTGACACATGTACAGCACATACATGTTCCCTCAAAACATGTGCGTGTGTTAAAACTCGCGAGCTCTGTTCACACCAGCTTTTTAACAGTCAGATTATTTTTCGTTTATTTATTTTTGCACAATTTAAAATACGCAGAAAATGACAAAGAAAACAAATAAAAAGCCCAGTTTGTTTAAAGCCTCCGCCCATGTACGTAGAAGTATCACAAAATTAAATACAAAATAAAATATACAAGAAAATAATATGACTACATAAAAATGATGAGAAACTAATAGATTCAAAATATATACAATATAATTAGCAACAATAATAACACTAATATCAATTAATTCCAATAGAGGGGTTACAATTAGTGGGTTCACCCTCGGGGGTGAAGTAAATTTGGAGGAGGAAGTTGTTGTAGCTTATTACCTGAGTTGCACCATCAATCTTTATTTAATCTTCTCTGTCAGTGTTTAAACTGCTCCACATAAGAGGAATGGTTTTCAGGCAGTTATGAAACAGGAGTCACCAGTATAAATAAGCTTTTTGAATAAACTATGTGAACTTGTTTTATGTTAGCAATTAAGCTAACAAGCTTGCTGACTGACAGTTGAACTGTGTCCCATTGCAGGGGCTGCATCCAGAGGCCGCAACGGGTGGATCCTTCATGGCCCAAACCTATCCCAAGATTCATAGCGTGACGTAATGAAAATAATATGGCAGCGAAGAATACTGACAGGGAGCCCGGTGTTTACACTTTTAAATGTAAGTATTGACTTTCAGCTCAGTTAAACAGCTGACAGCGCAACTGTTAAAAAGAAAAGTGTCTTAAAACCTTAAGTTTTTGTTTTAAAAAACAAAGTTACATCTTGTCAAGGTTGCTAGGCGACAGATCGTCTAATTTCAGTTCGGCCCTCGTGGTCTATGGCGACTACAAAGGCTCCTGAACAGCTTTAGTGACCAAGTACACCAGTTAGCATGCAGTTAGCCACCTTGTTAGCTGTTTCCTCTCCAAGCTATTGCTGCTAATTCGTTAGCTCAGAGAGCTTTTCCCCCTCTTCAGTAACAATGACAGGTAGACCTGAGGACACGTGCCAGGGAGGAGTGAACAGCAAAGTACAGAGAAAATACAAAGAGGCTCACAAGCTGATTAATGATCATTCAGATAGCTAGCGTGTTAGCATTTAGCTCACTGAACTACAGTAGCTGCAGAGTCGTCAATACATCACCAAGCATGTTTTGCCATGCCACTTTTAACACTCACTCACACACACACACACACATACATACACATACATATATATACACACACACATACACACACATACATATATACACACACACACACACACACACACACACACACACACACACACACACTGAGGGAAGACAGAGCGCAGACCTTTAAATAGACCACATGGGATTGAAACATCACTTACATGTCACTGAGCTGTGGTCAGAGAATATATTTTGCATTGACATAGGTGATTTATAGCTACTCATACTTCAAACAGATTTGGTTTATTTGAACTTGTAGCCTGTTTTACTTCCCTTTCACATGACTCCTCTCATAAAGTCAGAGGCTTAAAAAGACCACGGCTTTTCTCAAAGTTGCACAAAAGAAAGAATTCAGTCGAAAAGATCCCGTATAGCTGGTGCAGCGTGTGAGGGATTTTTGTATCGTGTGATTGAGGCTTTGCTGCCAAGCAGTGTGTATACGGTTGCATGTGTTTGGTGTGTGTGTATGTGTATGTGTGTGTGTGTGTGTGTGTGTGTGTGTTTAAAAGAGTGTGTGTCTTGAGGACAGATGAAATAGAGTTGGCTTCGTTTGAACAGCGTAGCTTGGATTGATTTGTGACTTTCTCTGCTTACAGCTGAGAGCTGGCTGGTTAAATCCATTTCAGTCCGTGACCACTTGAACGTGCCGGACAGCCTCGCACACTGAGGGCCTCGTCATCTCCTTTAAGATGATTTATTGCCGCTCAGGTCCTGTCTGACATCTTTATTGTCAACATTTGTTCCGACTGTTAACATGAACATTTTCTCTTTTTTTTGTTTTTACTCTCAAGGTGATAAACTTCCAAAAGATATCATCATGAAGTCGGTGGCAAAATCACTTGTGTGTGTGTGTGTGTGTGTGTGTGTGTGTGTGTGTGTGTGTGTGTGTGTGTGTGTGTTTGTGTGATCAGATCAGATGAGAGTGAGGTCCACATTGTCTGCAGGAATTCTCTGAACCATGGGGAAGATTTATGGGTACCAGTGGTGCAGGGGGATGATGGCTCCACTCAATGTCTTCATTGTGCTGTGAACACGTGTGCTGAGGTATTGGGTGAAGGAGGTATACGGGGCGATACTCAATCCCTTCTCTAAAGGGATTAAAAGGGCACTGCAGACACATGCGCACATAAGCCTGCAGAGCATGTAAAACATGCAAACACAATAAAATACCTTCACACATCTGAAATAAAAGCTTCTCTCTGCTCTCTGAATATTAGGCTTCAGGATTTCAACATCCTCTGAGTTAAACAGTGTTGGTTCTATAACAGACACACACTTTTTATGTGACTCTGTTTTGGCCAAAATCCAGGACCAGATAGTTTTAATGTGAGATTTTAGCACCGTTGTGGTTCTGCTTCCATCATCATAAACAACAGTCATGCACACATGATGCAACTGGCTACAACAGCTATGTTGCTAATTATCTGAAGCTTTTAATCAATTGTTGAAGTGTTGACTCACTCTTTGCTCAACATCTTAGTTTAGCACAAGTTCAACTGAATCTGATGAGAATGTCATTATATTTGCATGTGTGTGGTTATAAACGATAGTTTAAGAAACAGCTGAATCTTAATTATCTATACTTTGCTTTAACTCAATACATTTTTATACCTTTTATAACTTTTTATGTTTTTTAAAACCATTTTTTATATTCTTTTATTGCCCTTTTATTTATTATATTGCCCCTAATTTTTGCTATTACCTGTATATTTGATTTGATTTTCTTCTGTAAAGCACTTAGAGCTGTAATTATGTATGAAAGGTGCTATACAAATAAAGTTTATTGTTATTATTATTATTATTATTATCATCACAGAGCCAAATCAAGACTGAGAGAAAATGGTTCGTCTTCTGATGTTAAAACATGTCTGTGGATGTCAAGATGTCTCACTAGATAAAAAATCTCGTACATTACCTCTGTACAAGATTTGACTTTGACTTCTACAACATGTTACCTACTCTTTCCTTTTTGATGCTCTAAGTGTAACACTGTCAAGTGAAGCCAAAAACAACAGAGATTTTATCATAAAAAAGTAGAAACCAGTTCGACTGCCAGAAGGTTTTACATATTGGAAGGCAAAGACAAAAAAAAAAAAGATAAGAGGTTTTCTCTTTCATTCCTGTTTTTCTTGGCTCATCAGTCAGTTGGACAGGCAACAATAAGCTTGGACACCGGAGCCTTTGGGAAAAGCACTACTCATAATTGGCATATCTTTAGTCATTTTCAAAGCCAACTTCACCGTTTTTCCCACACACACACATAAATGAAAAGCTTTCTGTCTCTAAAGCCTAAAGTTAATAATCTGCTATAGTTAATTATAAATCATTTCCTCACCAGCTGAAGACAGTTGCAAATGTTCCTGAGGTATCCTGTAAACAATGATAAATTATTATACCAACTTGCAGAGCTTGTCAGAACCTGTGTGCCCTTTGTTACTCGTTTCTTTTGAGCTCCCAATGTCAGAATGAAAGGGTGGATACACCTACTGGTTTCAGTTGCAGAGGAGAAGCAAAATAAGTGGAGGATGTTGAATGAATTCTAAAGGTCTCAACATTTTCATTACTTCAGATGTTAACAACTGTCAACCATTCATACAGATTCATGTGTGTGTTTATGTGTGCCTACGTGAGTGGATACATGGCCACGTTCGGGTTCAAGTAAGGAGGCTGAGTGGGCAGGTGACCTGGATTTCCCATCATAGAACACATCTCATCCCCAGGAAGGAGAGAAGGGAAGCTGCTGCGGGCTCGTCAGCATAGATACCCATCACTGATCATCATCACGGTGACATGCTGTAACCACCCCGCGCACACACATCAAGTGACTTGTTGGCTAATGCACTTGACCACCTGTGGTGAAAGTTCACATGCTATTTGCAGTTTTTTTTTTCCACTTTCAGAAATAATGTCGCAACAAATTCATGTGCTTTAAAAATAACAAAACAATGACAAGTTGAAAAGTTAAAGAAAAGTCTGTTACCTGAGTGTCATGTCAGCCAAACGTCTCCCCTGAGAAGAAATGATCCAATCAGAGGTTAGTGAGCACGGCAGGCCTATTGACCTTCCATCATCCAAACTCAGCCTCTCTGATACTGCCCCCCAAATACAAGCGCAAAGTTTAAGGAAGTTAACAGTCAGTTTGATTTGACATTTTTCCTTATCATACTTATAATACTAAGACTAACTTACTCTACATCATTCATTTTAAAAGGATCCAGCTGGAAACATTATAAATATAGCGACCAGCTCATGCAGCTAAGGCTAGCTTCATTAGCTGATGTTAGCTAGCTATTGCTGATAAATTCTGCTAGCAACAGTTGTCATCCAGCAAAACTGACAGTCTCTGGCTGCATATAATTAGCCTACTTTTGTGTCATCCAAGAATGAATATTGATAGGCAAAGAAATAGTAACTTAGCAACTGGCCAATTGCTTTGTGGGCTTTGATATTACATGTTGCATGTTTAAACCAAAGTGACTTTAATTGAAGCTTTTTCTATTGAGTAAATCTTCCAGAGGAGCTGTTTCCCTTCTGTGAGAACATTGTACAGTTACTTACATTAGTCTTTCAGCAAGATGCCATTAGACTCAACAATTGATCTTGAGCAATATGGGCCAGTCTGCATGAGTTACATGTTGAATTGTCCGTGTGATGTGCACATCCTGCCGCGGAAGATAACTTTGGTGCAGTGCCGTACGTGTGAATGTGCCAGAGAGCAGAATGAAAAACTGGAAGCAGCTGCCGTGTGTCATCCTGCACTGCCTACACATTTCTAGAGAAAACAATCTGTGACTCCAACAAAAATACATGCTCAAGACATTAGCTGTGTAACCAGGAACCAGTGAAGAGGGCACAGCTTTAACCACAAATGAAACAAATATAAACTCTATATGTGTCTAAATCATTCCACTCTCCTTCTTCCTGTGTTTCAGTGGCTGTTTGAGGATGTCAGAAAGGTCCTCGGGCGGCAGCAGCAGAGTTTGGAACCAGGTGGGTTTGCTAATGGCATGCCAGTGGAGGAATCTGTGTCTGTCAGCGTTGAACTTGTCCGGTGGGAATCACCCCTGGAATGTGTTTAGCATCACAGCTGAGGGTGTCGGGGGTCAGGTGGCTGAGCGGGACTGGTGTGTGTTGGTGTGTCTGTGCGTGTGTAAAACCATGTCTGCATGATTTATCCTGCAGGAAGCACCATGAATCACTCTGTGTGGAACATGCAGACTGAGCATTTCTATGAATGTTGGAGTTGATTTTAGATATAAAGACATAAATATGATTAAAATAAGTCATTCTGGTTGATACAAAACTTTTAAGGATGTCATTCATGTAGTTCATGACACAATTAAAAAAAAAATAAAATCAAATAGAGTTGCTTATTCTAGTAGAAATGCACTCACGCACAAGTGTGCACATGTGTCTTTCCGTCACTGGGGTGTTGATGGATTATGAAGGGGCCCATGTTGGGGGAACACCAGGCCTTCAATGTTGCAGCCCGACCTCTAAATACACACCCGAGCACCCGAGAGTCGTGACCCCAGGGCGTCCAGGGACCAGTTGCTGCGTGGGCCCTCTCCTACTCACGCGAGAGCAGTTGGGTCAAAGCATATGACCTAACCACTTGCTTCAGATGTCAGGGGATAATTTACTGTGGTCTTTTGATGCCACACCAACAGTCCTGACAAATGTTACACCTCCGTACGAGGACAGATAGTGTGTCAATCTCTTGCTCAAAATGTAAATTTGGAAAATTTTTCCACTGGTTGGAAAATTGTTCACAGCAAGAAAGTGGAGACAGTTGGCTGTTCAAAGTCTCAATGTAAACAAACCATCTTACAGTTGTGTTTTTTAAGGTTTACCAAAGCCAGGTGGCCTGTTCCCACTGATCTCTCATATTTCTTGCATCCAGATATTTGGGGAAAGCCTCATGAAAGAAAGTGTGTGGCTGCAGCCGTACTGGGTGTGTTTATACACTGGATTCAGGAGTATCATTGCCCACACTCACAACCATCTGCCCGCTTACGTTACACGGCCCTGCAAACTTACATTTTGTCTTTTTATTTAATTTCTCAGGAGATCCCGGTCTCAACAAGCTCGCTTTATATCACATTCATTTTTCTGTGAAATGCCACTGTGTCGGTTTTCGACAGGCTGTAACATGCCGTCAAAGCGCTGCCAGTCAACATGATGACAGTGGAAGATTAGCATCCCAACAGAGGCTGCAGGAGGGAGAAAACAGGAAGTTAGGGGTTGAGTGGGTTGAACAGAGCTCTGATGTGTCAAGCTAAAACTGTGTCATCTTATCTGTCTCCATCAACTATGGGATGGTGAAGCCAGGCAGGCAGGAGAAAACTGGCAAACTCTCCCCAGTAACTTCTCATTACACCCCATGGTTTAATAACTCGCTTGTCACTCCAGCCAGCCCCCCCGACCCCTGACAATCAGTCAACATGGTTCTGACACAACTTTTAAACAATACATCTGCATTCCTTCCATCCTCAGGCCCCATCTGACAGCAGCTCAGGGCCGAACACGACACGGCAAACAAACCGCTGCTGTCAGTCTCAATACTAAATAATGTTGGAAATTTCTGCCGTGCGTTCCACAGGCATCTGGCACGGTGCAGTAGCTCCAGAGAAGTGTTCAATGAGGTCAGCAGAGCACTGATGCTTTCGCTCTCACCAGAGTGCAGTGTGTTTCTGTGTCATTCAGTTCACTTGACAACATGATTACGTCTGAGAGGATTGTAACACCAGGCCATGTGTGTGCAAATCTCAAGCTGGACCCTAAATGCACCAAGGCATGTAAATGTGTATATGAATGCCCTGTGTCAGCCCCAATTTTCAAAAGCCGAGTAAGTAATGTAATTAAAAGTTTCTCTGGAAGCCAGAAAGTCATTATAAGTGTCAGAGCTCCCTCTGTTGGAAAAGTGAAGGAACTCTTTCACTCTGTGTCAGAGGCTGGAGAGTAGTTAGTTAAACTCTAAACACACAATACTTGGTTCTAACTGTTGATTTCTTCAAGTTGCATCTTTAACTAGTTAAACATAACTGTGTGATCACCATCCATATTAAAAGTTGTTTATCCTCCTTTATCAATTGTTATTTTTATTTATCCAGACTTATCAGCTTATTATTCAGCATATCAACATATTTATTGAGTCGGGCTGAAGTTCAAGTAAATGTTAATCTTGGCTTGTTTTTTCTTGTTGTGTTTTGCAAATCTCACAAAGTGCGATGGGACTCAAACTGTGGAGTTTCAGAGGCTGAACAAACTATGAAATTCATAAAAACAACATTGAATAGAAAAGCATAAAAAGTCATAAAAAGTAACAGTATAGTAAGGCATTAAAGGCAAAAAAACCCCCAACAGAATAGAAGGGCATAGAAAGTCATAAAAAAGTCATTGTATAGTAAGACATAAAAAAGTCATAAAACACAGTATAGTGAAGCATAAAATATCATTAAAACGTCTTTGTATAGTAAGGCATAAAAGTCATAAAAACGTCACAGTATAGTACGGCATAAAAAGGTCATACTATAGTATATATGCCTGCCTTATCGTAAGGCATAAATACTCATAATACCCACATAATATAGTAAGGCATAAAAAGTCATACTATAGAAAGGCATAAAAAATAATAAAGACGTCATAGTATAGTAAGGCATGAAAAGTCATGAAAACGACATAGTATAGTTAGTCATTACAAATCATAAAAATGTCATAGTAGTAAAAGTAAAGTAAAAGTTACAGGAGATTAACATAGGCTATGGTTTCCCTACAAAGTCATTTAAATGATAATCGAATCACCAATTATTGTCTCACTGTAAAAGTGCTGAACTATGTTTGTTAGTTTAAACCCTGAACTTTTTATCACCTTTAAAAGGAGGTCACCATCAGGAGCTCTGAGGAGGTGAGCAACTGAAATGCTCATGTTGTGATCAGTTTAGTTAGCAGACAGCAGCATAAACAATACACCATTTCCACAGCAGACATTTTGACTTGTCAAAGCAGGAAAACCATAGGGTATTGTTATTAACATTAACAATGGCCCTGTTCCATTTAAGTGTCCCAATAAGCCATGACAGTGCTAGCATGAATGAAAACAAAGGCCTGAAACTTGCACATTTAATGCTTTTAATTACACATGAACTTTTCCTGGTTTGACACACATGTGTTACATGTGTGTTCTGTAAATAACATCTGTTCTTCAGGTCTTTGTTTGAAGCTGACCTCAGCGATAAAAGAGTACTTATATTTTGACTACTTGTAAATTGAATGAATTGAAACCAATCAACTGATTCAGTTAAGTTTGTTGTGAAATACTGTCAGCATACACCCCAGCATGCATTGGATTCAGGTGGACTATAGAGATGCTGTTTCAAACAAGGGCGTAGGTTTGGTCTAAACATTTCTAGGGAAGCAACAACCTTGTCACCCCGCCAAAACAAAGAGTAAGGCATAAAAACTCATAACACCCACATAGTATAGTAAGTCAAGAAAAAGTCATAAAAACCTCATAGAATAGTAAGGCATTTAAAGTAATAAAAATGTCATAGTATACTAAGGCATTAATAGGTCATACTATAAAAAGGCATGAAAAGTCATAGAAAGGTCATAGAATAGTAATGCATTAAAATTCATGCCAACGACATGGCATAATAATGCATAAAAGTCATAAAAAAGTCATAGTATAGTAAGGCATAAAAAGTCGTAAAAAAGTCATAGTATAGTAAGGCAAAAAAAGTCATAAAATGTCATAGTATATAGTTAGGTATAAAAAGATAAAAAGTCATGAAAATGTCAAAGTCATAAAAAGTCATAAAACATCATAGTATAGTAAGGCATAATGAGTCATAAAAAAGTCATAGTATAGTAAGGCATAAAAAGTAATAAAAAAGTCATAGTATAGTAAGGCATGAAAAGTCATAAAAATGGCATAGTGAGGCATAAAAAGGTCATACTATAGAAAGGCATATAGTAATACTTTGGGACTTGGGGAAGAGACTGAAATTTTTTATTTTTTTTGCTCATGTATTTCCATTGTGTGATTGTTGATTCGGGCCAGTAGCTCTTTGTTGTTTCTTCTTAGTTAATAATCTCTATCTTGTCTTGTACTCTGACTGTTGTATATTAAATCATTTCATATTTACACATTTTCCTTTTTGTGTCTGTGTTGGTGTGGACTGGGGATTTTAATACAAGTTTGTGACAGTAAGGAAAAAAAAAATCATAGTATGGTAAGGCAGAAAAAGACTTAGTATAGTAAGGCATAAAAACAGCATTGTATAGTAAGGACTAAACAGTCTCAAAAACCAAATAGTATATTAAGGCATACAAATGTCATAAAAAGGTAATAGTATAGGAAGGCATAAAAAGTCATAAAAAAGTCATAGTATAATAAGGCATAAAAAGTCATAGTATAGTAAGGCATAAAAAGTCATGAAAAAAGTCATAATGCAATAAAAGTCAAATAAAAAGGTCATAGTATAAGTAAAGGCCATAAAGTTCATAAAATGTCAATAGTATAGCAAGGCATAAAAACAACAAAGAATAGTAAGGCATAAAAAGTCATAAAAACGTCATAGTATAGTAAGGCATAAAAAGTCATAAAAATGTCATAGTATAGTAAGGCATAAAAAGTCATGAAAAAGTCATAAGGCATAAAAGGTCAAAGTATAGAAAGGTCATAGTATAGAAAGGCATAAAAAGTCATAAAAACAACATAGTATAGTAAGGCATAAAAAGTCAAAAAAAAAGTCATAGTATAGTAAGGCATAAAAAGTCATAAAAAAGTCATAGTATAGTAAGGCATAAAAAGTCATAAAAAAGTTATAGTATTGTAAGGCATAAAAAGTCATAGTATAGTAAAGCATAAAAACGTCATAGTATAGTAAGGCATATTAAGACGTAAAAAAAAGTCATAGTATAGTAAGGCATAAAAAGTCATAAAAAATTCATAGTGAGGCATAAAAAGTCATAAAAAAGTCATAAGGGATAAAAAGTCATAAAACATCATAGTAAAGAAAGGCATAAAAAGTCATAAAAAAAACATAGTATAGAAAGGCATAAGAAGTCATAAATAGTAAGGCATAAAAAATCATAAAAACAACATAGTATAGTAGGGCATAAAAAGTCATAAAAAAGTCATAGTATAGTAAGGCATAAAAACATGATACTATAGTAAGGCATAAAAAGTCGTAAAAAAAAGTCATAGTATAGTAAGGCATAAAAAGTCGTAAAAAAAAGTCATAGTATAGTAAGGCATAAAAAGTCATATTATAAGAAGGCATAAAAAGTCATAAAAACGTCATAGTATAGTAAGGCATAAAAAATCATAAAAACAACATAGTATAGTAGGGCATAAAAAGTCATAAAAAAGTCATAGTATAGTAAGGCATAAAAAGTCATAGTATAGTAAGGCATTAAAAGTCATAGTATAGTAAGGCATAAAAAGTCATGACAAAGTCAATAACATGAATAAAGTCATAAAAGGGTCATAGTATATGAAATGTCGATAAAAAAGTCATAAAAAGTCATAGTATACGTAGCATAAAAGTCATAGTATAGTAAGGCGATAAAAAGTATAAAAACAAGCATATAGCTATAGTAAGGCATCTAAAAAGTCATAAAAATGTCATAGTTATAGCAATGGCATAAAAAGTCATGACAGAAAGTCATGAGGCATAAAAAGTCATAAAAAACACATAGTATAAGGTATCGGCAATAAAAAGTCATAAAAATGTCATAGTATGATAGTAAGGGCATATAAAAGTAATAAAAAGTCATAAGTATAAAAGTAAGTGCAAATAAAAAAGTCATAAAAACACATAGTTATAGTGAAGGCATAAAAAAGTATAAAAAAAAAGTCATAGTATAGTAAGGCATAAAAAGTGTCCATAGAAAAAAAGTCATAAGTATAGTAGCATAAAAAGTCATAGTATAGAAGGCATAAAAAGTCAATAGTATAAGTAAGGCATAAAAAGTCGTAAAAAAAAGTCATAGTATTTAGTAAGAGCATAAAAGTCGTAAAAAAAAAGTCATAAGTATAAGTCAAGGCATTAAAAAGTCGATATTATAAGACAGGCATAAAACAAGTAATTAAAAACGTCAAAGTATAGTAAGGCATAAAAATCATAAAAACAACATAGGATAGTAGGGCAGTAAAAAAGTGCATCAAAAAGTCCCATAGTAAAATAGTAACGGCATAAAAAGGTCATAGTATAGTAAAGGCATTAAAAGTCCATAGTATATGTAAGGCATAAACAGTCATAAAAACGTCATAGTATAGTAAGGCATAAGAAAGTCATAAAAACGTCATAGTAATAGTACAGTGCATAAAGAGTATGAAAACAGTCATGAGGCATAAAAAGTCATAAAAAAACACAAAGCATAAGGTCATAGTAAGGCATCTAAAAGTTCATCACACCAACATCTGAGTATAGGAGTTCACGTTGCAACCATCCATCATCATTCATAGGTCGGAGCAGTGTTGAGCCATAACCCAGTATTCATCAGTCTCCGTAAGAAGGCTAAAGAGTCGGTAAAACAAAAGTCATAGTGTTCTTTTAAGTAAGTAATAGTGGCATAAAAGATCCCGTGCAAAAAAAAGTCATAGTATGGTAAGGTGCATGAAAGAGTCATGATTAGTATGATAGAAGGCATAGATCATATACTAAACGAAGTTATAGTGAGTAAGTAAGAGATAATTACATAAAAACATAAATAGTATAGTAGGGAGCATAAAAGTCATAAAAAGTCATAGTAATAGGTAAGGCATAAGTCATCAAGAACGTGCAGAGTATAGTAAGGCATTGAAAAAGTCATGAAAAAGTCCAAGAGGCATAAAAAGGTCATAAAAACAGACGATAAGTAGATGCTAAGCATAAAAAGCCGATAGAAAAGTGCATAGTATAGTAAGACGTCAGTATAAAAGTCAAAATAACCGGTCAATAAATTGTATAGTAAGGCATAATAAGTCATAAAACTCATAGTATAGTAAGGCAGTAAATAAGTCAGGTAGATATAATTCAGTAAGCGTCATAAAAAAAGGTCGATAAAAAAACAAGACAATACGTAATAGTGTAAAGGCATTAAAAATCATGAGAAGCATAGTTTACAAGGCATAGAAAAGGTCATTAAAGTCATAGTATGAGAGGATCAGAAAAAAGTCACTAGTCTATAGAGTAAGTGCATGAAATAAGTCATCACTAAAACGTCATGAGTAGCTAATAGGGGCATAAAAAAGTCGTACAAAAAAAGTCAATAGTATTAGTAGAGCCACTAAAAGTCATATATTATAAAGAAAGGC